TTGCACATTATCTGCAAAGGAATTACGACTTGGATACGGCTTGGATAAAAGCTCATAATTCTTCGTCAGAGGTGATATTTGAAAAACATTGGTAATTTGTTTTTTTTTTGTCGTTCGCCTATAATTGGTTGATTGAATGTTAGGAGGTTAGGACTAATCGATAAATGATTACATGCTACATATTTTTCCATGTATAGACGCCATTAGCCTCATGATTGACAGCGTCCGATACGCTCAAGGGAAGCATAAAATTGATAAAAATGTAGTATCGTTAAGTTAATCAGTCCACGTTTCCCACTTGTACTTCTATATTTCCTAATTTAAAAATATGTTACAAATTAGATTTGAATAGTAGGTAAGCGTAATGCTTTACAGCATGTTTCTTATTGAGTTTAAAAATAAAAAACTTAACATATCCATTATTAAATAAAAAAATACTTAAAATAATCTAATTCTAATTATTTTGCTAACCATCCTCCTAAGTATATCGCCCAATCGCCGTCGACCACAACCGGTCGCCGACTGTCTAAATGATATACTTTTGACAGCGTAGATACAGTCAGATAAGAGTGACAGCAGCAATCCGCTCACAATGCGACCTGATAAAAACTAATGTATTGTCGCTAATGAAACTAGCTAAGAGTTGGTTGACTATAGTGATTTATCTTGGCATGAAATTATGTGAGGGAAGGGAGTTGAAAATGTGTCTATTTTGGATTAATCCTAGATATGAATAAATGAATTGTACCAGTGCAGTGGATGGACTATGGAGCGCTAACATTCTACTAGTGTAGGCAGAGGAATAAGTATCCTGGTTTACCTACTAGCAATAGTGAACTATTAGTATTAAATTCACATTTTACGCCAAGTCTGCGAATAGTAGTGAAGTTATTACTGATTTCAATCACAGGTTCTAATCATGTCTGTCGAACTTCTGAGTTTAGATTAATTAGATGTTAAAACATATTTGAACCCGGGCACGTCCTACAGCTACGACTAGCCTATGAGAGATAGACAGGCGAATCCTCTAAAGTGGATTGACCTGATTGAGATTCCCAAAAAATGTAGATTTGAAGATTCTCCTTATAAAATAAGCTAATGATACATACAATATTAAACTACTGCCTCGTAAGGTTTGCCAGGCAAAGGGTTTCATTTCCGGGTCGGGCAAAGTATTACTGGGTTTAAAAAATTCTCAGTGTTAGCACGGAGTCTGGAATTGTGTCCGGTATATGGCAATAGGCTCACCCCCTATTACATGGGACTCATAACATAAATAGTGGTTTTCACTTCCCTCGGTGAATTACTCATGTCCCTGGGACGCGACGGACTTCAGTGTTCTGGTGTTTTCATGGTTGTATCTACTGTAGATCCTGGCTTACAGGAGTTGCAGCGGTTTTGGGAGATTGTGGCGGGCTTGTCCCATTAAAAAAAAAACATAAATAGTGAAAAGTAGGTGTTACATTGTACAGTGGCATTAAGTGCCGTAGCTGTGTCTGTTATGTTATGTTATATTGAACTACTTTATAAGATACCGCCTTACATCATAAAGGTGACATAAAGTTAATACTTGTATTAATATCGCAACTACAAGCTTCATACAACTAATTTAACCTTACAATCAAGTGCCGAACAATCATTTACAACTTAACATATCATGAGCTGTCAAATTAAAACACAGCTGTGTCCTACATTAAACATACAACACCAACGTAAATAATAAACTCCACAATTTAACAATACAACCTTATCATTTAGTAGTAAGGATTATTTTTGCTAGTGTTTAAACTTTTGCAGCTGAAAAAATAAGTTTGTAAGTATATGGAACTAATGTTATGAATTAATCAATCAAGTAATAGATCAATATGATGCAGGAAGTACTCAATAACGTTGACAACTTCAAGTAAACTGCATAGTAATGTATGTACGCTCTAGTTACATAAAGAGAAATAGTTTTATTTATTTAATTAGCATATAACATTATATTATGCAAATTATAACTTCTATGTAACAAGGACGAGCCTACGCAAGGGACGAGGTAGTATTGCGATCGGTGTTTTGAGAGCAACTACCTACCTTTAGAAAGCTGTAAAGAATAGTCTGACATGCTTAATCCAACCCGAAGTAAATCTGGCAATATTCTAGTATTTATTTAAGAAAAGCTCAAGTTGCTTTCCGAAGCTTAGAGCAAGAAAGTTTTTGATGAAGCTTTTTTGCAAAACTACGAATGTAGATAGTTTTGGTAATATAACCCATTCGTGTCCAATACTTTTCAACAAACAAAAATCACAATATTTTACAGATAGTTGAAGTTTCTGATTATTTCCAAAAATTTGTCCAACAAATAATACTTTATACACCGCTTTGTTCGAAAGATTTTAAATTGAATAAGAGATAAATCTTGTCAATGTTTTTATGGGGTGCAGTGACGGCGTCTCCGCGTCGCTCGTCAGTCACAACTCCTCGTCTCAGTTTATTTTGTACAGAATTCTACAAAAAATGTCATCAAGACTAATAGGCATGCTACCGTATGCTTCGTACGTTATTAACTGCGTATTCTGTTATTTTTCTAATGAAAAATAGAAGTCATAAAATAATC